AAGCCCAAACGTTCTTTTCTGTGTACTGAGACTTACAAACTTTTGCCCTTTTCAAAAATCAGTTCATTTTCTACTGGCATTTGATGTAACTTTTCAGTATCACCATTAAGCTGTGATGGAAGGAAAAACGACATAGTGCAAAGTAAATTATTTTGTGCTTACCTAAATAGAAATGAAAGAGTGTTAGCTACTTTTGCCAGGTCACCAATATTAATGTCAACCCCCGATGTTTGAATTCTCTAGAAACAAAATGTTCAAAGAATTACAAATAATAAATTATGCATTAGTAAAAGCATTTTTGTATACAGAAACACACAAATCAAGTTGGAAATGCTATCCTTAACAGCAGATTCAGGTACTGTTCTTGCTCACAAGGGCTGGTGTGCCAACTTACCTGACACAATTCAGCTGTATTTATACCTGGGATCTTATGGTTCAGATGTTGAATTATTTGCTCACACTGTGAAAAAAAAAATGTTTGAAGACATTGTTGATACAAAAATGGACAAGAAGAGTGAAGAGTGCAGAGTAAAGACTGAAGTAATTGAAATGACTGATTTTAAAATTCCATCAAATCCAAGGAAAGAAAATTAACCAAATCAAGACTTTAGCTTCTACCTCACTATTGCTAATTAACACACCAGTTTCATATTAACTGTTCAAGCATACACTACAGTAAACAACCCAAATGTTTTTTAGACCAGTTACCTTGATATATCATTTAAATAATAGACAAAAATAGATGTTTAGAAGTCTTCTGTGATAAAAACATAAATTTAAATCAAACCCATTGCTCTTAAGAGGACTGATCTGTTTTATGAGTCAAGGTACCACATACCTAAGGTTCCCTTTAAAGCACACAAAAACCAGAAGAGCTTTTAAAAAAAGGGCTTCCCGGAGTGCTAGGAGCCCTTCCCCATCCCATTTATCGCCCTACTCACCAGCTCTGCAAAAAAGTCTTGAGGTATTAAACGAATCTTATCTGCTGCACCACCACCATCTGAAAAACAGTAACGACCAGAAGCAAATAACTAAATAAAGTGTTACAGCAATAAATCCAATCTTTCTCTGAAAAACGCCTAGGCCACCATGCATGCATTAACCTTCGTTGAACTCAATCAATTTTAGCCTGCATGCCCCTCAGGAAAGCCCCGGCTGCCGGAGCTCCCACTCCCTCACCGCGGGTCGCCCCCGCTCTCACCCAGCGCCCCCAGCGCCCTGGCCAGCGCGCCCGCCGAGCCGCCGGCCATGGCGCCGCGCGCCCGCCGAGCCCCGCTTCCGCCACACAGCGCTCGCCGCGCTGATTGGTTCCGAGCGCCCCCACAGCGAGGCAGCGGCAGCGGCGCCGCGCTGATTGGCTGCGGCGCGGGGAGCACACGCTCGTCCCGCCCCGCTGCCGCTGCTCCCGCCCTCACGGAGCGGGATGCGGGAGTGGCCTCGGGAGGGTGGGAAGGGCAGAACCGCCCCGGAGCGAGGGTCGCTCGGTTGGCGCAACACTTTGTTCGCTGAGAGTGGTTTGCTGACAGGCTTTTCGTGGTGGTCGTTGTCAAAGGCGCAGCTACGCAAATCATAGGACCACAGAATGCTAAGCGGTTGGAAGTGGCCCCAGAGATCATCCAGCACACCTCCCACAAGACCAGGTTGTCCCATCCAACCTGATCTCGAGCATTTCATGGATGGGATATCCACAATCTCTCTGGGCAACACATTCCAGTGCCTCACCACGTTTACAGTAAAGAATTTCTTCCTAATATCTAACCTAAATTTCCCCACTTTCGTGGGGAAACGTGTACCCACCTATTCCCCCGGGCCCTGTCACTATATTTCCTGAGGAAGCGTCCCTCTCTGGCTTCCATGTATGTCCCCTTCAGACACTGGAAGGTTGCCATGAGGTCTCCACACGACTTTTTGTTCTCTGGGCTGAACAGCTCCGGCTTCCTCAGCCTGTCTTCGCAGGGAGCTGATGCCTGTCCTGTGTGTGTGTTCCACACAGGGTAACTTGGGACCGAATGGCCATGCTTTGTGCAGGTGAACTTTGGAATCAGCCCATACGCCTTCAATAAACTGTGTGGTTTGGGGGCGACTTGTGCAGGTAAACTTGTGTAGGTAAACAGCTTTATGGGGAAATAACCACCTTTTGTAAAACTACAAACAAGACTGTGTTCAATAAGCATTTCATACTGATATTAATGAAGTTTGGACTAAGGCAACACTAACCCTTCAGAAGTTTCACTTGTCAAAATAATATTTTTACACTTCTCTAGTATCAGTTTTACTTTTGTTTTTAGCATTTTTAAATATATATAGAGAGAATGATGTTATAATCTCAGCAGATCTATTCTGAGACTGTGACAGTAGTAAAACATAACTCATCCCACAGTAGTGCTGACTCAATCTATGTATTTTCAGTAAGTATTAATGAAAGAATTGATGCCTATATAACTTTGATCTAAGTTACAAGGTGATTATATAGCTTGAGTTATGAGATACCAATACAACCTTAATCATGACTTTTTGTATATCAATATAACCTGATATATCTATATGACCTGATATATCTATATAACCTTAATCATGACTTTTTATATATCTATATAACCTGAATTATAGTTTTTTTGTTTGGTTGGGGGTTTTTTTGTTTGTTTTTTTTTTTTTTTTTTACAATGCGCATAATGTGATGCCAGTGTATGGTTAACTAGTTGCTTGATGCTGAATGGACAAAAAAAGAAGAAAAAACTCACCAAGTGGGTAACTTTAGAGATTGATAAGTACAGCATTAATGAAAAATTGGCTAGTATAAAGCCAATTAGCCACAGAACAAAGAATTTAGGCCAGTTCATACCAGACAGACCAAGGAACACCATAGCTGTGCATGCTCCAAAGACAAAGCTGAAAAGTTAACAAAGCTGAAATGTGAAGACCTTGGAAGCCTTAATCAAAGACCCCTGATAACCCCCAAACTGGGGAGACACAAGCACAGTGCAAAAGAACCATCTAATAACCATGAGATCATACTGTGTAAAATAGTTCTGCTGTGTATGTGATGATGTTGTAGTGACATAGTGACACTAGCAACACTTACTGAATAAATACACCACAGCACATGACAAAGGTGGGTGAGTTACATGGAGGAATCCCCCTCACCACCTGCACTGCAACAAACAAATACCTGCTCTATAGACACCGGTCTATGGGGATTTATTTCCAGCCTATCTTTCAGGCATCAGAACCTGTAATATGTTTCAGGAAAAGACTAGTCATTATGGAAGATGGTGAGTTTTTATGAGCTTTATACATTTATGACCTGTCTGATCTTGGCCTCTCCCTTCTAAAGTATCTAATTAAGTGTGCAAATTTTGAGTAGTCTATGTTTTTATGACCTCATGGTTGTCAAAGTACTGGCAATGTATGCATCACTGAGATCTGTCTCTGATGCTGAGGACTAAACGATCTCTTTGTTCTTAACTTACCTAGCTCTAATACATGCTTTGTTATCTAGAGAACTTTACATATTATTTTATATTACAATTTCATTAAGTCTCTCAGTAGAGCCCATAGCACTATGACTAATATTCATTATGGTACTTTTCTTTCTTACTTTCTATCTCCAACAAGTGGAGATGGGAGCTGAAGTTTAATATCTTGGTGGTTAGGTAATTACAAAATCATTTTCTGAAATTTTAAAATATTTTGGTTTTTTTTTTTTCATTGGCAAATAAATATGCATTAAATTTTTTAATTTGGAACAGGAGGTCGTGAAATATGAATGGATTTTGGCTTGTCTGCCTATCTGTGGAAAAGAGGCTGACCCCAACCTGTCTACAATCTCTTTCCAAATAATTGCAGAGAGTGATAAGGTCCTCCCCAAGCATCCTTTTTTTTTCCCAGGTTAAGTAACCCCAGCTCCCTCAGCTGTGCCTCATAGGATGTTCTCTCCAGACCCTTCACCAGCTTTGTTGCCCTTCTCTGGATTCGCTCCAGCACATCAATGTCCCTCCTGAAGGGCGGATTCCAGAATGGACACAGTACTGGAGTGTGCCCTCACAAATGCCATTATGTGTTCCTTTATTTTTAGCCTTTCTGAAACAACTTGAAAGAAGGCATAACACTAAATCGGGTATGTGTACATATATAAAATATAATCACACTGTATATAGTATGTATGTATTAGATTGTGCTTTTTCTTAGCCAAAAGGCCAAGAAATGCCATGTTTAATGGTCCTGAGATGGGAAGTATGATGGGATTTGTAGGTATAGAAGATAAATGTTTTTAATTGTGTTTAACACATCTTGCAGTAATTTTCAGCAAGACATATGGTGACTTCACCACCCAAGTCCTTGCTGCTACACTGAGGTCTTCTCAGGCAAGATGAAGATGGGGAGCAGGCACTGATCTTTTCTCTCTGGGAATCAGTGCTAGGACCTGAGGGGATGGCCTGAAGTTGTGTCAGAGGAGGTTTAGGTTAGATAACAGAAAAAGTTTCTTCATCCAGGGGGCGGTTGGGCACTGGAAGAGGCTCCCCAGGGACGTGGTCACAGCACCAGCCTGGCAGAGTTCAAGAATTCTGGACAACACTCTCAGGCTCATGGTGTGACTCTTGGGGACGTCCTGTGCAGGGCGGGAGCTGGGCTCCGTGATCTCTGTGGGTCCTTTCCAACTCAGACTATTCCGTGATTCTGTGGCGTGGGGGTAATTGACTGCCACTGCTGCTCAGCAGTTCCTCTGGCTCCCTTTGTCCCGCCTCGCCCCTTGGCCTGGCCCGTGCCCCACGAGCGTATTTCGCTGAGCGCTGCCCATGCCTTCCCGCCGTGGTTCAGCTTAGCTGCTGAGGCCGCTTCAGGGGACCCGGGCTGCCGGGGCGCTTGGCGGGCGCTCCCGCGGCTCCGCCGTGCCCGCCTCCAGCCCCCGCCGCGCCCCGACACCGAGCGGCCGCGCCCCCCGGCGGCGGCAGCGGCGCGGGAGAGGAACCACCCGTTGCCCCGCTGGGAGAGTCCATTGCCGGGGGAGCCGAGAGGGCGGGGAGGGGGGAATCTCCCAGGCCTCGCCGCCCGGAGCGCTCCGGGGACGGACGGCGGCCACTGCCGGCTAGCTGCCTCGGCCATCTGTGCGAAGCGGCGCGGCGGTGCGGGCGGGCGCCGGGCGGGTGTTTCCTCCTTCGGCCGCCCCCCCTGCGAGGCGCGGCGCGGTGACGCGGCCCCGGGTCAGGCTGAGGCGCGGCGGCACCGTGAGGCGCTGTCAGAGCCGCGCTGAGAGGGTCCGCCCAGCTCCGCACCGGGATCCGCCGCCGCCGCCGCTGCTGCCATGGAGCCCCATCGCTGGCTGCCCCTGGAGGCCAACCCCGACGTGAGTGCCCGGCCTGGGCAGTGGGGCACTGCCCGCCTGCTGTGGGGTTGGCGGGAGGATGGCGGAGGGGAGAGGGCAGAGGGCTCCGGGCCGCGCGGGACCTCAGCGCCTCTTACGGGGTGGCTGGTAGTGGTAGGGATGGAGGAAGGTCTTATTCCGTGGATCCGACTGGGTCTTAACTACCTTCTGTTTTCTGCTTTCTTTTCAGGTCACGAATCAGGTAAGAAGGCTTTTTTCGAGGTAACCTTTAGTCTCTGCAGCTTTGGGCCCGTCTCCTCTCTTTTTCGTGTAGTAAAGGCTCCGTCTTGTCCAAGGAGAGTGCCCCCTTCCTTCCCCACGCGTGTCTGCGCTCGGTCTCCTCATGTCGGACCGTACTGGAACCTCTCCCTTAAAGATACTATATGAAAGAAAAACGAACAGTAAAAAGAGAATAGTTACGCCTGGCTATTACTGTAATGAAATCTCTGATGTTTTTCAAGGTGGGTTTTAATTCATTAATTAGTGGTTAAAACATTAATTTATATATAACATGTGCCAGGTATAGAGCTGTACATGATGACTTTGGGCACATGTATGGATCTGCTTGCATCACTGTGTTGTAGACTCATACTTCTTTGGCTGACCATAAAAAAATAATGTAATTTTACCATATTTGCAATTTTCTGCTTATTAATGACAATATGTGCCTGATTGATTGTTGCTGTTTTTGTTGGTGTGGTAGAACCCACGCTAGAGAAAAGAAGGTTGTTCTAGTACATGAAACAATGCTCCCACTAAATAAGCTCTGGCTGGAAGGAAATCACATATACTCTAACCCTGCATCGTGTTCTCTGTGACAATTTTGAGCATGGCGTTAATGTTGATTTCAGCAGGCCTATTGGTAATGTTAAAGATGGTGTTTAAGCCAAAGGACTCTGAAACTTTCAGCAGCAAAATTGTATTCTTAAAACTATACTCTTGAAATATTTTGGAAACTGGAAATTTCTGTGTGTGAAGAATGTTTTGTTTGGGTTTTTTGTTGTTGTGGTTGCTGTAATATACAAACTACAACTGCAGAAGAGTGAAGGGTTATTTGATACTGGGTCATTTTGTGTGTTATAGTTTCCTAGGGCAAATCATTTACAGTATTGCTGCTGTGGAGCAATTTGAGAAGTCTATAATCCCAGTCTCCTGAGTTCAAATTGACGGCCTTTCCTGGGGGCCCATCTTGAACACATGCTATAGTTTCCTCTTTTTAATTTTGAAATTCAGAGAGTAAATTCCAGTTTGGAAGAAAATAAGTGAATAAATAGCTAGTAAGAATTTCTAATTATCTAACTTTTGATTCTGACTTTCCAGATGGTGAGATGAGCTCATCATGGTACAAATTAAGATCACCTTTAAAGTAGAAATTGAGGAGGAGAAAATAGTGACATTCTTTCATCTGAAATATCTTGTATCCCTATGCGTTTATGTTGTATGGAGAAAATCCTAAAGGAATGCCAAATGTACAATTTTAAGTGTGTTTAAAATTCATCTCTTTTGCACATTGGTGATGAATGTAGCTGTTGTAGATGATCATGGATAATAGGAATTTGTACTCCACAAGGATTTTCTTGTTACTGTTTCTGTGTAGAAAAGGCCACTTGAAACCAATTAGACTTCCTCCTTCACTACCAGTCTTGACTGAGCAGGATTATTACCTAGACTGAGAGATGTATATTAAAAAAAAATAATAAACAGGTGGGTGTTGAATATGAATGCACCTTGAATTATTAATCGTTGTTCTTTTAATCTCATCAGTACAGTGGTGAACTGTGTAGCAACAGGGCTGTTAGTCATAAGTTATTCATATCCTGCTTGTGTTTAAAACAACAATAATGGTAATTTGAAATTCTAATGAAGTTGGTAACTAATTTTTGGAAAATCCTGTTGAGTTAATTGCAAGGATGGGCATTTCTTGTAGTACTCTGTGCTGTGCTCTGTAAAACATTTTAGAAATCTTCAGCATTAAAAAACCCTATGGTCTGCCTCTACAAACTGCAATATTCGTGTCTGGTAGTCATTTAATACATGTATTTGGATAGACAGCTAGCCAAGTGCCAAGTGTTTCTTCTTGGGGTTTGTTGTTCGTTATTTGGCTTTTTTTAGTTGAGTCTTAGACTATCTTTTATGCATACTACTTTTGTGAGTGTTAAAATTATTGCTAGGTATGGTAGTGAAATCTTAAACAAAAAAAAAATTCCGGTGACCTGTAAGATGCATAGATTCTTACTGTTAGATTGTAATTAGAACTATCATCAAGTGCTTATGCTGTTTTGGTTTTATTCCCCTTATAATCAGTAGTTAGTAAGGAAGTGTACTAAATGCAGATTCATTTGCTTTTAGTATGTTCTTACAATACTGTGTCTTCTGTGGTTTTGAAATATAGGCTGTAAATTTAAGGCTTTCAGACTTTGTGGTAGAAATGCAGATGATAATGGAAAAAAAGGGTATTTCTCAGTCAGAGGTATGTGAAGTCTTTCAAAAATAGCTCCGATTTCTCTATCTGAAAGTGTTTATATTATAATACAAGTCCAGAAATTTGTAAATCCCTAATCTGTATAGAACCTTTCTTTGTACATATGTGTTAAAATTATTTGAAGATTCAGAAACTGGCTGCTGAGGATAAACAGGAATATTCCTTCTTAGCTTTAAAGATTTCCAGTGGCAGTGGAAATGTGCGACGTGTCTGTAGTGATGTTTTCAAGAGAGAAGACAGTCATTCAATGCAGCACACAGTGCTGGTTGCAATGACTGAAGTCAAGAGTCAAATGCACCATGCTATGTTATTGTCACAGTACTTTTTTCTCCTTCACTTCTACAGTCTGACAGAATGAATTGTTGTCTACCTCTGATACAGAAAGAGTTGATGATTCAGCATTTACAAAGCTCCATTTTGTGTACAGTGATGACAGGGAATGGTTTCTTCTCTTTGACCTTCCTTTGGTGGGGGCCTGACATGACCAGCGCTACCCTCATTCCTGGGTATCTTATGGGATTTTCCTGAGAGAAAGCAAGAAAATTGTGTTTATCAATTACCATAGATATGATGTTTGTGTATCTTTTTCCCAATTTCTTCTAAAAAAAAAAAATCAAGACTGCATGTAAATTTTTTGGAGTGAAGAGATCAGAACACAAGCTGATTGTTCTTTCTCATAATGTTGCTTCAGTCTGGCTTAGACAACTGATTGTCTAGGACATGTAGATAAACAAAAACTATGGGTGGATATTTTTCGTGATGTCCCACCTTTTTTTGTTCTCTCTTCCCTTTCTTCATCTTCAACATTCTAAGAAATACCCCTGCTTCCAGAACAAGATAACATTTCCACTCATGCCTTCGCTGGATCCAGATAAGGATAGAATAATTGACTGCATCTGACTATGAAGCTCAAGCACTGGCTTCAGAGTTTGACTGCTGAGTGTTGGCTGTGGTTTGAGTTTCTTTTGCTGCATAGGGCTTAGTTGCTGGTTCTTAGTTATCTTCCAGCATTATTTGTAGGCCTTTGATCATATTTTTGGGGGCGTTTGGGGTTTTGAGTTTTTTAAGCCATTAAGGTATTGAGAGTCAGCTGCATAAAGAAAATTATTTTAGCTCATGAACACCATTGACAGCTGTGACTTGAAAGTTACGGGGACAATAAAGCTCACAAAGCATAGAACAAATGGCAGAAACTGGATACAGCCAGTCTTTATCCATTTATGGAACACCTCTCTTCAGGGTGTCAGGCAAATACAGAGAAGAATTAAGTATCTTGGAAGCAGGCCTTAGTGTTCCTAAAAGATCTTCTAATTTCCTGGACTCTGAAACTCTATCCCACAAGCTTTCCCAAAGAAAAGCCATAGTGATCAAAATAATTGAAAATGTGGTGCACACAAATGAAGTGCATTGGGTGTACCTCATAGATGAGGTACTGAGGTACTGTCTTAGTGTGAAAGGATGTTGGTTATGGAGAAACACAGATGTCCTCCTAAAATGCCTACCTAAGCTTCCGTTTTGGTGTGTTTTTTGTTGTTTTTTTGGTGGTTTTTTTTTTTTTTTTTTTTCTGGTGAGGGAGTGGAGTTTAACTCTTTCGTGGTAAGCAGAGTGAAAAATAGTGGAGATAGTATACATGCTTGGAAAACAGCCTGTTATTACTCATGTAGCCTCAGAAAGTTGAAAACCAGGATTTAGTTTGTGTCTCTGTAAAACCAATATCCCAGAAAGCCTTTCACAGAGCCAGCAAAGGGGGAATGTTGAGCCTGTGATGCTGCATAGCAAAGAATAAGCACAAGGATGAAGGAATTGTAGGTGACCACTGTGAGAGCACTTTGTGAATGGCTTCTTCTAGGTTAAGCTCCAACTATGTATGTAGCCCTCTTACTGAGTTTAAATAGGCAAATATGTTGCACAGGGAAAATTGTCACTTGTTTTGGGGTTTAGAGTAGTATTTATATGAATAGTTGAAAGATTGCCTTAGCTCAGTCTTCGTACGTTCTTCAGTAATTGAAAGCTATGAAAAACATGTATTTCATTACTCTACATGAATTTGCCTCTTCTGGTCCTTCTTGTGATAATTTTTGCTCAGTTTCTTAGTTTCTGTTACAAGGAAACCCTTACTGTCTTGAAGACAAAGGGGAAAACAGGTGACATTTATTTGTACCTTATATGTTATCTTGCTGCACTGAAATGCTTTTTCCCGCTTTGACATTTTGCTTGTTTAAAGGACCAGCAGAACCAGTAGAATCTAGTGGTTGTTTCAGTAAACTGTAAAAAAAGAAATGTATATAACAGCTAATTTAGAAGAGTAGATTGATCCAGCTCATTTCTGTTATGAGTAACTTTTTAGATCATGCAAACAGGTCTGTTAAATGTTTTTCACAGAATAACACAGTATTCTGTTTTGAATCAGTGTCTCAGTATCAACACCTCAGGACTCTGCTGGAAGCATTTTAAAGCTGTTGCTCACTGGTTTCGGAGGAAGCCTGGGTCAGCTGGTTCATCCACATTTCTGTGTGCTTTTTTTGCATTGCTCCCTGTGGGATGCCCTGGTTGAATATGTACAGCAGTGCCTGGGCATACTGAGCATTAAATTTCAAAACTGCTTTATGAGTATGTGAAAAATACATACCTCTCATTTTGAAGAACAGCAGCACTAACTGTGAGTCAAGGTTGCTCTTCTAGACACCATAAAGTAGTGAACACAACTGGAAGGATAAGAATTTTGGGGATGTAAGTTTTCTCATGTTTTTGAAAAAAAATTGCGATGGGCTGTATTCTTTGAACCTTATTATGGTGTCCCAAAGTACAGAACCTGAGGATATTACAGAATTGTAATAAATTTTGAGTTTCCCAAGGAAGTCTATTATAATGTTTGAACAAGATCATACTGTGGCCATTCTAAGTGAGGAGTAGTTGGTAAAGAAGAATAATGCAGCTTATGTAAGTTCCAGATATCTCTACCCTCCTGGTGCTTTTTGACCTGCTGTACAGAACTAAAGTTACAGCTGCTACATATGACTGAAATGATGCTGTCTGTAAAATATACTGAAAAATTATTCTTTCATTTTAATTCTATAAACATCATGATGAAAGAATGAAGAAATATATCCTTATAATGCTCCAACAGTAAAATATTGTTTGGGTGGTTCCCTTATTTCTATAAAGGGATTTCACTTCTCAAATAGACTTGGTTTTGTTACATGCTTCTAGAAATTATGTGTAAAGAATTAAAAGCATGTTGTGCATTTGTATTTTTAATATAGATTAATAAGAATTGGATACTTTAAGAAATGAATAATTTTCCCTTTCTTGATGATTATTCAATCAGTTACATTTTACCCAATGTCTTACTACAATTTAGGGGAAAAATGCTTTCAATTCAATAAAGTGCCAAAAATTCTTGTGCTTTAATGAAAAAGTTAGACAGTATTGATTGTCTTAATTGGTTTATTTATATGTTGTCCTTTCAGTTTCCTAAAGCCATAAGAACACTTCATTTTTGCAGAGGAAAGTCTTAACTGTGGTTTCATTGTGATAGAGAGATGCTTTAATGCATTCACCAGAAGTACAATAAAATGTATATGCTGTGGGTGTTTGGTTTATATTTGTTCTTAGAAGAGGATGGCAACAGTTGGTTCTTCTCACTGAAGCTCTCTTGACTTCTGCATCTGAGAGTCTGGAAATGTTTGTGCATTTTGCCAGTTTTATGTTTTCATGGTTCCAACTTTTATATAAATACCGCAGTAAAATGTGGAAAAATCGAGGTCTTGAGTGTAATGCCTTAGTATTTAAAATGTGATGTTCCTGAACTATTTGCAGAAGCTGTGCAACTTTAGTTGCGCTTAAATGTTAAGCTCCTATTTTGTTTCAGTTTTTGTCTTCATTTTGTTTTTACATGCAAGTAGCAGAGTAGAAAAGCACAATGGCTGCTTAGACAGTATTTCAATTGTGCATTTACTGCATAAGTTTATAATAAATTTCACCCTTACATTGTCTTACCCCACTTACCCTTTCTGCATGTCCATAAACCTGATAGATCAAATCCTACTGGCTCTGTAACTGTGTTGGCAGAAGTAGGATTCTAAACTCATATTAAAGATAACTGCTCTGTGCTTTTTTCAGTTAGTAGGCTGGTACCAGCAATGAAAACAGAATAGCTTGTACCACATGCTGCGTAGGTAGAGTGCCTAGAAGTGCCTATTGTAATGTTTTTGCTATTAACCAACATTTAGACATACAGATTTACAAATTATGATCATTTAGAATAGAATGAGATAGGCTGGAAGGGGCTTTTGAGTTCTGCAAGACCAACCATACTGTGTTCAAAACAAGTTGCTCAGCGACCTGTCAAGTTCTGAATTTCTCAAGACGAACTCCACAGTCTCCTGGACAGTTTGTGCTAGTGTTTTAGTATGTCTTTTATTTTAAAATTTATTTTTAAATGCCTTCCTTATCAAGTTACATTTCCCTGTGTTTCAGCCTCTTGTTTCTTGGTGTTTTACTCTGCGCTGCTGAGTCTGTATCCATCTTCTCTTTGCTCTCCCTTAGCTAGTTATAAACAGTAGTAGTCAGGTGAGAAAGAAGGGCCTTCTGGAATACTGGAACAAGAAGGACAAATTCATAGGAAGTGCAGATAGGGTTGAGGGGTGTAAAATAGTTTCTAAAGTGGCTTTTTGTCTACTAGCTAGCTGGACCAGTGAAAAACCAGAAAGTGTTTTTCAGCAAGGTGTTTTAATACAAGAAGAAAAGAGACAACCAAAACTGTGACAACAATCTGTAAAAATAAAGTTGTGAAAAAGTGAATACTAGATACAGACGTGTGGGGGGTTTTGTGCTGCTGTTGTTGTTCTTCCTGAGCTCCTCTAAGACTTCTGTAATATAGCCCAAGAATTTTTATTTTTTTCTTTTATAAGGTGAAAGCTCAAAGACCTATAAATTAAGATTAGTCAGCAGTGTGATAACCAGTGTCTGAGAAAAAGATTCTCTCTTCTGCAGATCCAGAGAAATATGAAGCTGCTATTTTATGTTGTCTTGCATACATAGCACCAATAAGTTAAGAGAAAGTGAACAACTGAAAATGAGTGAGCCCTCAAAGAACCCTAACTGTTCTTTAACAGTAGGTATTTGTAGAATAAAATTGCTTGGATAATCCCTAAATAATTGGAAAGGAAAACAGCAGAGATCTCTCACCTTTTTAGACAGTGACATTGTCTAAAAAGCATACTGAACTTCCTGCTGTCCTAAAACAGGAATGACTTTGTCTTCCCATCCAGCCATCTATTGTTCATCTGTTACCCATCTGTCACTCTCTCGTACACAGAGACTTACTCTGCACAGTTTTTACAATCTAGTTAATAATTTTCAGAAGGATATTTCTATCTTTTTTTCCAGGCCTGAATGAAACCCTCTTGATGCATATAAGAGATATCTTCTTTGCCTATTTTGAATCTGTCCTTAGTATTTTATTTTTGGTTTATGATTCTACAGTAGAGTTGTTAGGCGGGTTGTGTGTTAAGATCACTGCTTGCCATTCTAAGCCTATGATCTTGCTGTTCTCTGTAGTGCTGACCATCATTTTTCATTGTCACTCTCATTGTTTACTGGAAGTTACAATTTCTCAGATTGTAAAGTTTCTAGGTGGTATGGTAGCATGAATAATGAAAGGTGCCCTGTATCAATGCAGTTTAGTTCTGTTAAATTCTTAATTCAGGAGTTCGAGTGTACTGTTCTTGGGTTTAGTTAGCATTTTGTTGACTTTGGGTTTAAAGGAGTTGGTTTTATTTTTATTAGTTGGTTATTTGGTTGCTTGTTGATTTTTCTTTTCCCCAGTGGTGTAGAAAAGGACAAAAGACTCTAAACCACTTATTTGTCCAGTAACTTAATGGGATTCTTTATCACCGTTTTTTCTGGTTTGTGGCGTCTTTTTTCATTTTTGGGTGTTTGTACCCTTATTTCACAGAATATTGCAAAATATCAAGTGATACTGGAATGGAAAACAGATTTTTTTTTCAGTTGTGTTACTTTTCTTGCAATAAAAATAATAGATTAATTGCTGGCTTAATAAGATAAGTACTGGAAGTACTTATTAATTAATATTTTAATGCACCCATACATGTAGTCCCTTCTCTTTGCCTTTTTTTTTTTCCCTATTCACAAAGTGATTTACCACAAAGTGGTAATTATCTTCACAATATAAAAGGTTAGAATAGAAGTTCAAAATACATTGTCTTCTGTTTCATCAGTTACTAAATGCTTAACACTTCCCCTTTTCCTCATGTTCATTCAAAGATCTGTATATGCCACAGTGTATAATTAGTTTTTTCATATAACTGTGAATGGTCACTGTGTGTACAGTAACAACAGTTCCTGAAATCAGTTAGGTTCTTCCAGACTGACAATGGAAATATTTCAAATTATCTTTGACCGTCTCTGTGGTTATTAATTCTGCAGCTGTTGTTGTGATGGGTTTACTTGAGTAGAAAAACATCCAATTAAAAAGTGAGCATCCAGTCTTCAAAATATATTACTCCATCATAGTTTGAAGGGATTTTTCTTGTAAAAGCTACACTTACTAAAGTGTGCATCTTGTGTGGTTTTGCTCCTAACATCTTTTTGCTTGTAGGAGCTCCAATATGAGCACTGGTGCCAGGTATTCTGAAGTCATGGAGTCTAATAATACCATATGGAGTCAAATAATGCCATAAGTTTTGTTCATATGTGCTCTGACTGATGGCTCTGATGATTTCTAGTTAACATGAATATTCAGTAAAATTAGATTCACAAAATCTTCTGTTTTGTGACAGAACTCTTTTTAAATGGTTGAAATGCTTTGATGCTTCAGTAAATTGTGCTGGGAGTGTTTCCACTTCCCTTCCATAAGTACTATTTAAATACATAAAACATGGGATTTTGTGTGTGTTTGTGTGTGATTTATTCAGCCTTATTTATTAAAATATTTATCTCTTTTATTCTCCTTAAATTGTAGAAAGCATAGGTTGTTTTAATGTATGTCACATTGTGGATACTCTGTTATGCTTCTGAAAAGATAGGTGTTTTGAGTGTTCTTGTTTAATATTATGCATTTGTTGTTGTTTTTTTTTTCTTTTCCAGTTCCTGAAACAGTTGGGTATACATCCTGACTGGCAATTTGTAGATGTTTATGGTATGGAACCAGAACTGCTTAGCATGGTGCCAAGACCTGTATGTGCAGTACTACTTCTCTTTCCAATAACAGAAAAGGTAAATGTTTATTTAATAGTCAATTAATTGCTTTTGTCATACGTGAAATGGGATTGAAAGCTTAAATCTTGTACTTTGGTGTCATACTAGAATCAAGACAAGACTCAAGCTTTATTTGAGAGACTTCTTCATTAAAAATAACACAAAAAATGCTTCACAAAAAACCTTGCATGTACATTTCTGATTTCTTTTCAAATCAGAATGGGAAAAGCTAATGTAGAAGCACAGAGAAATATGCCTCACACTTTTTTATTACAGGCAATTTAAGGTATTTTGTATAATAAGCACTGTGAAATGGCTCAATTTGCTAATTTTAATAGAAAGTTCCAGTAGCATAAGGAAAATGAGAAATAAGGTGTAGGACAATATGCAACTTCTTTTGGAGTTTTTTTTGTCCTGTTACACTGACAATCCTTCAGACTTCAATCTACTTTCAGTTCAGTCATGAGTATTGATGTGGCTTTCACTTCTTGGACAGATGGGATGTACTATTAAGATGAAAGACAATTTCCACTCCATCTTTCACTATGTTGGACTTTGGTTAAATCTTCAGTGTGCTTATTTTGTGTCATCACATGCTTTTATGTAGTGTGATTCATATTGATCTTTCAATTTATAACAGTATTACACGATTGTGATAAGATCAGCCAAAAAGGTTGAAGCGAATCTGTCCACAATTCATTCTTTTAATATGTCTCTCAAAAAGAATATGTAGCATATAAGGACAAATCACTTAGCTATTGAAGCTTAACTTCTAAGCACAAGGTGTTTAAATAGACAGGAGTGATCGCTCAGTCTTCCTACACATTATGTCCTGTAAACCTCTGCATTCTCAGTTTCTCCAAAACAGCTATGCAGTCAGTACTTTTCAAGTTTGATTTCAGCCACCTTGATAGTTTTGAGCTTAGTCAAACTTTCAACTCATCTGTCCTAATGAAATGTCCTTTCTGTCACCTTTGAGGCATTGTTTTCTGTGTGCTGTCATTTCTGTCTGGCTGTTTGAGGTACAGGTCTGACTGTCACTTTTCTTTTGACTCTGTGCTTGTGCAAACCTTTTTTTGAATCATGCTATGGGAGCATTATCCCATAGGAAAGAACCTTGCTCTTATTCCAGAAGGTGTATCCAATTTCATCGTAAAGAAACATATGACAAACAAAACAAGAGAAACAACATTTGCTCTGTTGCATCAATCAGTCAAATCTGAGCACCAGCCAAGTGTTCAGCCTGTTAATCCTTCTGAAACATCAGGCACACAAGTGTTTCTATCAACTGTTTAGCCTGGCTGTGTGAATGGTGAATGTTTCATGGGAGCTCCCAGTGTTCTGAAGCTTTTGTTGGTCACTGTGAACTCCACAAGACATTTGAGCATTATTTTGTATTTCTAGAGCAGTTTTTCCCTCCTCAGCCTCCTTTTCAAAATGGCCTGTAAAATTACACGTTTATTTAATTTATGTTTTATTTGTTTCTTGGCTGTGTCTACATTTATGAAAGTGCCTATTAGTTTTGCTGCCTTTGTAAACACTTTTCTCACATGTCTGTCTGTTCTTCTGTCTGGAAGTTCAGTGGTTTTGTGGTTCCTGTATATCAGTTTCCTAGAACTTGCTTTCAGGGCAAGCTACTCTTGTTAGCGTTTAGATAATTTTAGGATTGTTGTACACTTTAAAGGTCAATGGCTTTCTTCGTCTGCATAGTATGTTGTAGACAATGTCAATATTGTGGGTGTTGGCATTTTGGGCCTAATGAACGAATAGATCCAAATTAATCTAAATTATGGGATAAAGCTTAGGTTAGGAGGAATCTGTTGAGATGATCTGGTCTATCCCTTTCTCAAAATTGTATTTTTGGTATTCTCAGCACTTATATATTTATTTTTTCTGTGGATTTTATTTTGGTTGGGAGGAAATGAATGGCAGCTGTATTGTTCACCGCTCTAAGTCTGAAATTTTTGTCCAATTAAATTCTATGAAATTTTTATCTCAATTAAGGCTATTTTTGTTAGCTTGTAGATAAACCAAATTAAAATGGTTTATAATGCTCTTGCTATTACTTAGCCTATTCAGAACATTGAGACAACCTACAAAAGTGGAGTATGATGCTGGAAGTTTTTTGGTTTTGTGTGTCACTGACAGTACAGACAGCCCAAGGGAAATTTCTCAGGAGTTTGCAGGAAGAGTTCCTTGGTAACATTTGCATTCTTACTTCGCTTTCATCATACTTATATAAAAAGCCCATCTACTGCAAAATTCTATTTTTTTTTTTTTTGTCTGCAAAAGTACCTAGTAAAAGAGGCAAAGGAAGAAGCATTAACTGGAACATTTGTGGATTTATTCCTTTCTTTTTCTGTCTGAAATTAAAATTTACCAAAAGAAAATAAATAAAAACCTCAAAAAAATCCAGTCAAAAAAACATAACACCACTCCCCCAAAAGAACCAAAAAATCACAGCCAGCAACAAAAAAACCCCCACAAAACTGAACACTATTTCACAGTATAACAGGTTTTAGTCAAATATGATCTTTATAAAACAAGTACTCTAGATTGTTCTGTCAAAGCAAATTGTCTTTGCTACAGAATATAAAAGTTTACTTTATGAATATTGCTTCAGAAGGGCCTGTTTTGATGCCTTGGGTGTTATATAGATCTTTGTTTAAATTCCTGGGAAAAATGAAATGTAACAGTAGAATTTTTAAAGAATGCTTCATGATGATTAATCACCTGAAGTATTATGGTTTTCTTTAGCACTTGGACACTTCTGTCCTTAAAGAGCCTTTAGTTGCATTGAAGCGAGATGGTGACATGAGCTCAGATCAAGGAAACACTGAAAATTTTTAAAGTTGTTTTAGATAACACATACTCAAAACGATCTTTCAAGTGTGAAGGCATTGGGTTAAGAAACAGTATAGAGCAGTTCAGATAAGTTTACATATACTTGTTGGACCACATGTGTTAAACATTTCAAATGGCAGTATTAATTAGCTGTTGTATTTTATAAATTGTTTTGTCTTGAATGATGTAGCTATTCGTACTATTTGTGAAATAACTGTAACTGTTTGTGACTTTAACTTTCCTTCTAGTATGAAACCTTCAGAACAGAAGAAGAAGAGAGGATAAAAGCTAAGGGACAAGATGTCAAATCATCAGTGTATTTCATGAAGCAGACCATTAACAATGCTTGTGGGACAATTGGGCTAATTCATGCTATTGCAAACAACAGAGATAAAATGAACTTTGGTAAGATTTTTTTTGTTTGGTTTTTGTTGGCTTTTCCCTTTTTTTCCTCAGCTGTGGGAAGCCATAGAGGGAAGGATGTGTTTTGTACTATTTTCTCTGAATATAACCATTCATAAATGCTGAAGGAGTGCATTTTTACCTATAATTACAAAATTATTATTTTATACTAATTCATGAACTAAAGCACTTGAAACATTGCAAAGTGCAGTCAGCCTTCTGTGTCTTAAAAATACAGTGTGATTCTATCTTCACATCTTTTGTTGGGTTCTGTAAGATGAATGAAGTTGGAATTAAAACATGACACTAATTATGTCTTTTTAAATTTTTTTTAAGAAACTAATTCTTCACTGAAAAAGTTCTTAGAAGATTCATTATCTATGACTCCTGAAGAGAGGGCCAAATACCTAGAAACTTACGAAGTTAGTATCGTGTGTTTTTACTTTTATTTAAAATTGTGTAAGAATTACTTGCATGAGCAGGTACTGTCCTTGGGGATTGACTTGGTGAAGCAGCTAAACAAATTTGATTTCTTTGGTCGCCATGAGCTTGTGATCAGACAATTGCTACAAAGGAAACTCTGCTTTGGTGTTTTAGAGTATTCCTGCCTGACCATAGCTCAGTCAGCAGAACGGATTTTGTCAATGTTCTCATCCGTATTAATTCTCTGGCTTAGTTTAAAATTACTTTGAAATGCATGAGAAATGTGTGCATAATCTTTTCATTTTATGGGTTCAGGATATAGTTTAATGGTCAGTTAAGCTGATCTGGAGCTATTGCTGAAAGCATAGTCCTTTTGCTGCCTCTTTTAATTTGTGCCTTCTGGTCATACCTCCATGCTTTTAGCAGCTGAGGCACACAAAGAGCTGATTTGGCTGAAATGCGATCTCCTTCCCCTACCATCCTAAACCATGAGATGAGCTAGCTGATAATGTGGTTAGCCACATCATTAGTGCTGTTTGAAAAGATGTGGCAGAAACATCTGGCCAGTGGTGGATGGAGAACAGTGCTGTTGCTCCTGGTGGTGATGATGGTCCTCTCTCAAAATGAAAACCGTGATGATTTTTAAGTCAGAGCATATTGTGAAGCCCTCAGGAATATGAGTGTTAACGTCTGGCTAAAGGAAGTAGTAACAAACAGAAACAGCAGAGATTGATGACACTTTCTATGGAAATGTTGGACACAAAAAGACTGATCAGAACTTCTACCTAAATTATTTTTTCTGCTCACAGTGATGGGTAAAAAAAGTGTTTTCTGTGTGTAAAAGTGCCATTACAAACTCTCAGATATTTGACCTGAATTGACTGTTATGATGTAAGAGTGGTCTTCTGAGATCCTTGGAGGTGGAGATTATTTGTTTATTAACTTTCTTATTTATTATAAGCGCTGAACAAAAATAGTTACATCTATGTAATTGATAAAATGAAGGCAAGAATAGTTCTACAACACTGAAAGTCTCTCATTTAAAGTCTGATTTAAATATATTTTAATTTTAGGCTATTCGTGTCACTCATGAATCCAGTGCCCATGAAGGTCAGACTGAGGTATCCATTTTTTTAAAAAGTCTTTGTTTATAACTACTTTGAGTTGAATATAATTGACATGAAAGCAATCACATGTTAAAGGTTTACAGTGAAATTGAGATTATTGCTTGATTTTCAGAATTGTGTCATTAGTCCAAAATTAAGTGGCATTGCTGTGGGGAAACCAAACTTGAAGCTTGGGGGCTTTTTGTTTGTGGGTTTTGGTGGTGGGGGTTGTTTGCATTAGGTTTTTTTAGCTCTAATGTAACTTGAAAGATCTTTCTAAGCTTCATTTCAGAGTAAAACAGACAGAAACTTGAGGTTTTCATGTTGCACATTTGTAGGTAAGACTGTAAGATTCATAGTAACCATACAAGTGTATCGAATATTTTATGAGCATTGGGAAAGTTATAGTTCAAGAAAAGAAGTAGTCCAGTAGTTGGTTTGCAGTTGTGGGTGTGCTGTTTGTATACAAATTCAGATAAATTCTCATTCATACATACATTTATAAGCATTTATGCCCCAACAGATTGTGATATGGAAGAAACAACCTGATAGCTGACAAAAGAACCCTGAAATAACCATGAACTTGAACATTCAACATTTTTCTGCTTCAATCATACTAAGTCAGTTTTCCATCTTTCTGGCTCAGATTTTTTGGAAAAAAAAAAAGATTGTATTGATGCTAGCATTGCTTTGTTTGACAAAAAGAGAGACACTTCTATGTTTGGCTCTGGCTCTAGTGACTCATCCATTCTCTCTTTTTGAAGTGCAGTAGGTGACTTTTTTTTTTTTTTTTTTTTTTTTTTTGTGCAGTGTCTTCTATACAATGTAAGAGAAAGCAAAGCAGTCCTTTCTGCTCCCCCTTGCCCTGTCTGGAATGGAAAGGATGAGAATTGGTTTAACTATTTCTGTTATAAATATTCAGCTTCCTTTGTAGTATTTTATTTTAAAAACCACACCACTCTCTCTTCTTATCTTGTTCCCCAAATTAGTCAAGGCTCTATATTTCAAGAAGAAGCATCAGAACAAATTTGTGTTTTTTTTCGTTTTCTAAGTAAGAGACTCAAAAATCTGCTCTGTTTTGTTTTTTCTAAATGAGTTCATTTCATGGTATTCTTGGCCAGCTCAGAAAGAGTGATTATCCCAACAAATTGCTGAAGACTGATTCTTTTCCTAAGATCCTTGTGAAAGAGAAACTTCTTTAGTTATATTGACGTAACTTGAGGTTCATGTAGGGAACGATCTGTCTCTGCATTCTTCTGGCAGATCTTATGGAATGACTGAGAAAGAAAATACAAGGGCTGCTTGTTTTGAGAGTCTTCGTGAAGATTCAGGAAGCACCTAAGTGACGATGGAATCTCCTAATAATGGACAGTTAACTTCTTGAACTTCCACTAATTAATTTGTTTCCTGATCAAGACAACCACAATACAAAAGATTAATAATTGCGTGGAAAGATGAAGACTTCTTTTCATAATAAAAAAAATTACAAGATTGTCTTAGCAACCATGCCTAAACACAGATATTGAATAGCTAGTTTCCTTGCCAATTATTTATTATTCCATTTTGTATAACTCTAACTGTAAGTAATTCAATATGGATATTCCTTAGACTTTTTTCCTGTCTTTTTGTTTCCGAAGTTGAAATAGTACAAAGACTGAATACATTTCCCAGGATCATTTTTTCAGAATAGTTCTCATCCATCAGCCAAGGAGGGAAGAAACAAACAAGTTTTGTTACTGGAACATCAAATTGCCTGGAAATCCTGTCCTACCAGGTGGTAGTTAAACAAGGCAGCAAGGCCTCCCCATTCACTGGTACCTAAGGACTTGCTTTACTTTAAAGTAAAATTCCTTTTAAGTGAAACAAAATACGAAACATGAATATGCTGAGAAGTGTAACTGAGAGATAAAGTGAATTAATCTCTTTTTCCTTCCATGGGTACATTTTAAATGTCACTGTGTACCCTGCATGTAGGGGTCGGAGGGAGTGATAAACAGCATCATCTTGCGGGTGCTGAAGTTACAATATGCAGGTCATAGGAGGTTGTTGACTTGTCCTGTGGGATAAGCTGAGGATTTCTAGCACCTTTTTGGAAAGAAAGAAGAGAATCCTATTCCTCCTGCATAGCCATTATTTGTTAGGATTGCTTTCCTGAGAATTTCAAGGTCCTTTAGGAGCACTGGAAAGGAGCAAGGTTGCCTTCCTATGACTGGTTTTTGACCTCCATGCACCGCCTCCACTGTCCAAATAGTCAAAGCATGTTCCATAGAAATCTTTCCTTTGAGAAAAGTGGCTTATTTAGTTGCTTAATGATAGTAAGTGCTGTATAGTTAGTGCTTTGTGAACAAAAGCACTTTCTAGGTCTTCACAGATCTTTTCTAGGTCTCTTACAGATGTAAAGATTAAGAAAACATGCAGGCCTACTTTTTCTTAGGATGATTAACTTGGCTTGTGTTCTTCATGAGAAAAGCCTTCTGTATGGGTAGTTCTGTCCCTTAGATAGGTATTGCATACTACTGTTCACTCACATTTTTAGAAAGTCTTGCTAAAACTTATCTGTGTTAGACAGAATTACTTCCAGAAGTGGGATGGATAGCAGACAATTCCACGGATTTGTTTAGGAAGGAAGGATGTTTTCCTTTCACCATAAAAAAACATCCTCATACAATCAAGATAAAGTTAAATTTTCTGGAATCATGAGCTGCAGAAGGTTTAAAAACAGCACAGAGTACTGACAGGTTCTCTTCTGATAATACTGTTTGGTGGGTTTGGGTTTGGTTTTTTTTTTCTGGGTTCTGATGTTTCAGATGTTTGAGGATTCAATCTTTAATACTTCTGAGTAAAGTCTTTATTTTTTTTATTGCCCTTGACAATCTTGCTATATCTTCACAGACTTTTTTTATAATCTCAGTGACTACTTAGTTTTTACAATATGCTAATACATTTTCTGCTTTTTTCTCTTTCATATACATAAGTATTTCAAACCTCAAAATAAAGCAAGTCTAGCTAGAAATAAAAATCAGAATAGCATAAAGCAGTGCTATCTTCCTAATATCTGTGTATTTTGTCATCCTGTCTGTTGGTCATGATTTTTCTGTTTTAGTATAATCTGTAATCAGATTTTTTTTTCCTCCTAAATTTTGTATGTGTTAAAGAGCTCTTCTCACGGGGAAAATGCCCTCACACTAGGCAAGATATTATTTGTAATGGGCTTCTAGATTCCAGACTGCTGGAATTTACAGTGATCAGTTTGTTTCTGGGATGTATCATTACTGTGGGATCTATTTGGCTGAACATGAGGATGAATTGCTAAGCAAGTGGAGTGAAGCTGAAAACTCTAGAATGTTCTGCCTTGATGGGTGCTTTAACAAGCTTCCCAAGTTTGATAGCTGTGATTAATTTGTTTAGTTAAAAAAAAACCCGACCACTTTTCTTAAAAATCAAAGAGATTTTTTTTCGTTCAAGGAGCTTAAACTTTCAAGAACTGTTAAGCAGTTTTCATTTTGATAATTTATTTCAAGTGTGCTAATTAAAAAGGTTGTAAATTTGCACTTAATCCTTCAGGCCAGGTTTTGGACCGGGTTCTGTTAATACTTCTGGGTTGTGTGGCTCCATGTCTCACTTTGCTGCCAGTAGAGCCAATAAATAGCTAATGCAGTCTTATGGGTACTTTTTATGGATACTTCTGTATAAATAATGTAGGTCTGTTTAAAATTACTTTGGTAACAAGTAGTAAGATCTGGTTCCACAGAAGAAGTGTCTTGTTGGCTTCAAGGGTGGTTTGATTCTGGTCGTGTGTTCAAGTACCATAATGAGGGCAATTAATATAAGATTCCTGTGACAGTATTTCTGTTGAAGTTTATGATGATGAAGCTTACACCTTCTCAAATGACAGGTATTTCATATCAAAAGCTGCCAAAAAAAAAAATCTAGGTTTTTACCTGAAAGTTTCATAGATCCAGTGTACTCTTTTCTGTGTGACAGCTCCTGAACTGCAGCTATTGCTGAGAGAAGAATAGGTGCCAGATACTCAAAATCCTCTTTATTCTTCCAGGAGTCTTCTGCTGAGCATAGACTTCTATTTATAATATCTAGGATGTCTTAAGATGTGGAAAATAGAACCTGGTTCTTTGCAGAATGGTACACACTTTTAAGCTGATCCTTATTTTATTGCTTTCAGCTGAGCCATCTTTGAGTCTTCCCTTTTGTTTTACTTTTTTTTTTTCCCTTCTTGTTCTTCTGATGCCTCCTTGAGCAGTTCATAAGCTTTGATACCCTGTACTGCCACACACCTTAACATTTCTGATACCCTTTTAAAAAAACAAAGCCGCCCTCTCCCTTTGAAAAACCACAACCCTTCAAAAATATTAAAATGACAAGTAGTTTGTGGATCTGCATTAGCTTTCTGATCAACAGGAATCAATTATAACTAAGTTATGGCAATATTTGAGGGAGGAAAAGTACCAATTTATAGCAGTGATCAGGATGAGGCTCATCCTTACTTTCAAAACCATTGTAGTAACTATTTCCAAGTAACAGCAGAAAATCTGAGGGGAGCATTTTTTTGAAAACAGGGAAACGTTATTAAATGAGAGAAACTTCCAGGTCTAGAGTAAATAAATTTTGAAATTGGAGTTGGAGAAGAAACTTATTGTGTATCCTACCCCTCATTTCCATTAATACTATAAAGTTACTGTATAGCTGCCTGGGAGAGTAGGAGAGGAGGAAAATGCAAAGGCATACTTTGTATAGAAATAAGCCAGTAGAAGTTGTTTAGCTCAATTAAACAATTACATGCTTCAGGGAGGTTATTCCAGGTAGAAAATATTATCTGATTCTTGAAATAATTTACCTTTTTAATATGTGAATATAATAATGTAAGTAAAAGATACTTTTGTTCTGCTCTCATATTACTGGCATCTGTATCCAGTACTTTTGCAACTGTGCTTTGCTACAGCTCAATACTACAGTAAGGAAAATGGCAAGCTATGCCACAGAAATCTTTTAAAAATATT